CCGCCTCGCCCGCACGCACCAGCAGCGACTCCGAGTGCCGCGTGTGCTGCTGCGGCCGGCCGAAAACCAGCGCGTAGAGGCTCCAGTGCTGCAGCAGCGTCGACGCAAACAGCCGGGCCGCCGAGGCGACCAGGTCGGGCGCCAAGGCGCCGCTGGCCGCCGCGGGGCCGGGCGTGCAGCGCGACAGCAGCTCAGCCCTGAGCACTGCCTGTGCCTCCGCCCTCGGCGTGCCGGCTGCATGCAGCGCACCAGATGCAGCGTTCATGTGACAACCCAGGACGTGTGGCTACAGACATGAGGATTCTCAATCCCTCCTCTGATTCGCTGCGCGCGGCCAGAGCAGGTGGGCAGCACACCAGTGCAGGTCAAACGCGCGCACTCACCAGCGCAACTGCGCAGCAGCTGCTCCCCAATCACCAGCAGCGTGGCAGCCTGGTCGCCTGTGACCCCCTGCTCCCCGCAGAACCTGCGGGCCCGACCGGATGCAAAAAGCTCCAAGTGTGTCGGCAACACGCAAGCACAGTAGCAGCGGCGGTTTGGCTGTCAAGCCGGCAGCGTTTGGCGGCGCCACCTGCTGCCAGCTGCCCGCCGCTGACCCCCAGCCCAGCGGCGGCTGCCACCGACCACTGCTGACGGTCCCCGCTACCCGGGGTCGAGAGCTGCAAGTCGCGCGACGCCGGGAGGGCGCTCACTCTAGGACGCTGGCTGTGAAGTCCAGCGTGGCGGCGCTGTGCGCGTTTGATAAGTAGTCAGGTAACCCCAGGGCCTGCGCGAGCGACCTGTGAGGGTGCGCGAGTCAGCAACTCCAGGGAACCGACTCGGTGGCTGTGAGCAACCACATGAATGCATGGGCCCAGGCGATCGGCCCAGAGTGCAGGCTCAATCTACTAGAGGCACCGTGCGATCGCTGCACACAAGATCACACCCGCATCCGGTGCAGCTGCGTCATGAGCAGTGTAGGAGGGGGCCGGTCAACGGCTTTCCAGATCGCGGGGCTGCAAGTGCGGCGCAACCTGGTGCAAACAACACACCACCAAGATGATATATACCCTTCGTAAGCCTCACTTGTCCGCCTCGTGGTAATCCCTGGTGCGGAGATCGCGATACGTCGCCTGCATGTCCGCGGCTGCGGCTAACCGGGGTATTGTCACGTTCATCGCTGCTTTTGATCACTGCCTTGCTGTGCTACTGCTCGGAAGCTTGGTGATGAGCTGACGTGGTGGCTGGGTGTGCGAACGACCTGCACTCCTGCACTCTGGTCTTACTGTATGTGCATACGTTTCTCACAGGGCGGATGGCGATGCTGGAATGTTTTGATAAAATAGCAATCGATGATTGCTCCAGAATTGGAACGTCCGCGCTGGCCGCGTCTCTTCCATTTGGAAGACAATTCCTCTCAACTTCAGCTGCACGCTGCCGAGTGGAGTTCCGAGAGCAGTCAAGGTGCAGGTGTGATGACAGTGGGCCTCCTCTGCGACAAACCGAGCTGATGCCTAACGGCGACAGGAGGCCGGCGCGGCAGGTGCCGTCCTGGTGCGCTGCATCCCTGCGCCCCAAGCTGGCCAGCTGAGAATTAGCGGCCGGGCCGATGGATAGGTACTGCATGCTGGTCATATGGCGGGTGAGCACTCCATGCACGATGCACAATGCTGTGGCCGTTTATTTGGAGCTGAATGCATGCTCAGACAACAAACATGTACATGCAGAGGCGTGTTCAGCCCTGCTGCTTCACACAAATGCGCTTGCAATACCAGGACGGAGCACAGCGCGAGCAGGCGGGTGGTCGGCACCCGACACAGGGGTTCCAAACAGCGCAGCACCGTGCTGCGGGGCCTCTTTCTCGCGACAGCCGTGCTTTGAAGGTGAGCTTTTCATAGACTTTCAGCAGCATCAAGAGCCGCGGTGGCCCGCGGGCAGCACTGAGCGAGCAAGAACAGCACGGCGGCTTGGTGTGGTATGGCGCATGAGGATGGTTTTGCATCTATTCCGCGTGCATGAGGACCCGTACACGGCCGCGGACCTTGTGCAGCGATCTGCTGGCCATCGCTTGCTCTCGTCCTTTCATCAAACTATTTGTCATGGGATGAAGTGTAGCGTTCTTATCACACATAGCGAGAACCCAGAGGCGGCCTCAAGCGGCATTCATTCAGCAGGACGCGGGAGGGCAGCACCAGGAGCTCTCTTTCGTACGTATCAGCCTGTTCGTATGCGCTCCACGCCTGCTGCCGAAGCAGCTGGGGCGCTGGTTGCTGCGGCCCTCACGCGCCGCTTGCCGCCGCCGCACGCTGCGCCCGCATCAGGTCGCGCATCCCGGCAGCCAGGATGTCGGTCACGCTGCGCACCCGCAAGTTCATGACGAACCGGCTGCTGGCCCGCCGCCAGTTCGTCGTCGACGTCCTCCACCCGGGCCGCGCGACGGTCAGCAAGTCCGAGATCAAGGACAAGCTGGCCAGCCTGTACAACGTCGGGGAGTCCAACACGATCTTCGTGTTCGGGTTCAGGACCCAGTTCGGTGGCGGCAAGAGCACCGGGTTTGGCCTGATCTACGACAACCTCAAGGCGGCCGAGAAGTTTGAGCCGAAGCACCGCCTCGTCAGGTGCGCGGGCGCCGCGGTCAGTCAAGAGGCGGATGGGTGGGGGCAGAGCATGCGCTGCCGGGCTGCTGGCGGCGTGGCAAGAGGCTGCTGGTTGCCAACGACCCCCTGCGTTGGGCGCGGAAGGGGTGATGGCTGCAGCCCCTATTTTTTGGGGCTAGAGGCCTGATAATGCGGTAGCAACGGCCAAGCAGCGGCCTGGCGTGCCAGCTGCAGACGCTGCAGGCTGTTACTGAGAGCATGGCTGGGGATGCGGGAGCTGGGTGCAAGGGCAGCGGAAGCGGCGGCAACGGCGACGATGGTGGCGGCAGTGGCAGCAACGGCATCAGCAACGGCATCAGCAGCAGTGGCTGGTGCCGCGGCAGCAGCAGCAGCACCAGCAGCAGCAGCAGCAGCAGCAGCAGCAGCAGCAGCAGCAGCAGCAGCAGCAGCAGAAAGAGCAGCAGCAGCAGAAAGAGCAGCAGCAGCAGAAAGAGCAGCAGCAGCAGAAAGAGCAGCAGCAGCAGGAGCAGCAGCAGGAGCAGCAGCAGGAGCAGCAGCAGAAGCAGGAGGAGCAGCCGCAGCAGGAGCAGCCGCAGCAGGAGTAGCCGCAGCAGGAGCAGCAGGAGCAGCAGGAGCAGCAGGAGCAGCAGGAGCAGCAGGAGCAGCAGGAGCAGCAACACACTAGCTGCAGCTAGCAAGACCAGCAGCAGCCACCACCACGCAAGCGGCAGCATGCACGCGGCGGCTGTCGCCACAGCTACGCCAGCGGGTTTGAATGCAGCAGCGGCTGGCAGAGCGGCAGCGGCTCGCGCATCAGCTGCGTCAAGAAACCATGCCCAGCACCGGCCATGCGGCGCCGCCCTGCAGCCCTGGCATATGGCTGTAGCCACTAGGCTGTAGCTACTGCTGCAGCCCGTTGATTGGTGGATGTCAGGCCAGCCGCTCCCAATCCCAGCCTTCGTGCCCACCTGCCGCCGCTGCCCATCCCCCTCCCTGTGTAACCCGACTTTGCAGGCAGGGCCTTGCCAAGAAGGTGGAGCGGTCTCGCAAGCAGCTCAAGGAGCGCAAGAACAGGACCAAGAAGATCCGCGGCATCAAGAAGAACAAGTCCGCCTAAACAGTGCGGCTCGGATGGCGCTGCGGGACAGCAGGTGCGTGGGCACGTTGAGAGGGGTCGTCGCTTGTGCACAGATGAGGGAAGCGGCAAGGGGCAAGGTGGCGCTCTGTGAAGCTGCAGATGAGGGGCTTGTGGCGAAGCCGGTCTTGGGGGAGGCTGGAACAGCCGCATCCTCCAACGCAGTTGTTGCCCTGTCATTGTGAGCCCCTGTTTAACCGCCTGCTTCCAACGCCGTGCTAACCCTCGCCGCAGCCGCTTGTTTGGAGTGCTGCTGCTGGCTCCTGGCCACTCTTGCGGTGGTCTTTCTGCGGTTGCCGCGATCGCGGCAGGAGGCAAGTGGGTGGAGCGCTTGGGCAACTGACCCTCACACTTGTAACCCCAGGACATGTTGTGCCCTCCATACGGCAGCCGCAAGGTGTTCGTGTGATTGTCCGCACGCTGCAGCTGATGCTGTGTGCCTGAGAGGCTGGAAACCGGGTGTCTCTCTTGGGCTTGAAGGTCATGGGTCTGCCAACACCCACGACAATGGCATCAGCTCGGAGCAGCAGAGCGGCCGGCGCGGCGGGTGACGCTCCGACGCGATCGATTGACTATCAGGGATTTTTGAAGGCTATCACGATCGTCAAAAGGGTTAGGTTGGATGGAAAATCGGTCGATCGTCGCACACACGATCTACACGAGTGTGCCAATCGGTCTAGAGCAACGATAGCCTCTCGGCCACACACAATCACGGCACATGACCTAAGCACACACAAAAAACCACTAGCCAATCAGAATCTAAAAGGCAGCAGATAGGAAGGCGAGCGGTTCGCCAGCTGAGCCCACCCGAGCGAGTGCAGCAGCGCGAAAAGTGCCAGCATTGGACACCGCGCCCACCCTCCCGAGCCCGCAATGGCGGCCGCGCGCGGCAAGGGCGCCGCGAGTGCCCCGGCATTCCAGCTCATTGCCGCCTGGTGGCGGATCGCGCGGCCCTGGTTTCTCGGGAGAAACCGCTGGGCCGCGGCCGGCTACATGGCGGTGTGCTACGCGCTCGCGCTGTGCTCGACGCTGGTGTCTGTCCGCATATCTTACGCGCAGCGGCGCTTCAGCACGGCCCTGGCGGGCAAAGACGCGGGTGAGGGCTTCCCGCGGCCAGGCTGCTCACCAGGCTGTTTTGCTGCACGCCGCGGGGTATTTGTCAAACCTTTGCTGAGGCGGCCAAGCCGAGGGTCGGCGCCGAAGCGCGCTCTCGCGCCGCCTGTCGGCCCCATCGCCTGCGCACACACCCAAATCACCACCCAGCGCACCAGCCGCACTCCCTCACACCCTTTTGCCGTCCTGGGCGGCGCGGCGTGCAGCCAACTTTTGGGGAGCGATTCGCGAGTTCATTGGCATCATCCTGGTGGCGGCACCCCTCAATGCCCTGGACCCGTTTATGTCAGAATTACTCATCACCAGGTGGGCACGTACTGGTGTGTGCACGGCTTGCACGCGAGGGTTCGTGACTCAAGGTCCGTAGGGTGCATGTAGGGGTGCACATGGTGAGTGTGCAGCTCATAAGTGCAACAGTGCGTTAGGGGAGGTGGCGAGGGTGGGGTAGCTTTGCGGAACCAGGGCTGCGCAGCAGGGCGCTGCCCAAAAGTGCTGATCCCTGAACCCTCAAAATGAATCCCTCAGGTGGCGCGAGCACCTGACTGCTGCCACTTTGAGGGCCTACCTGGGCCCGGGGCGCTGCTACTACCGCCTCCAGCCCGGTGGCGGGCCGGGGCCGGGCAGCGGCGGTGGGGCGCCGGACGCAACAGCGATAGACAACCCCGACCAACGGTGCGCAAAGCGTCCGGCCTGCGAAGCGTCATACGCACGAAGACACGGCGGCTGTTCCCCGGTTGCTGCCCTGGCAGATCGCCGCATTAGTGTTTTCACAACCGTCGCCGCACACTCCGGGGTCCAGCCCCAAGCTCGCGACACCCCGCTTCAACGCAAACGAAGCCGCCTCGAAGCCCACCCGCCCCAAGCGCCAATGCCAACAGAAGCCACCCCAACGCATTCGAAAGTGCTTCTTGTAGCCTCACAATTACACCGGAACCGACCCAGGATTTGCGAGGACATCAGGAATTTCGTGAAGAGCAGCACCACTGTCAACCTGCTGCTTGTGAAGAAGCTGCTCAACTGCGTCGCCTTTGCCGGCGTGCTCTGGAGCATATCCCCCAGGCTGGTCCTGTTCCTGCTGAGCTACGCGGCCCTCGGCACGGCGGTCACCACCTGCTGCTTCGGGCGGCTGCTGATGCGGCTGCAGGTGGGGGGCCCCGCGCAGGGTTGCCGGGCGCGCAGGGGCGCGCCGACGGCAGCGGCTTCCCTTGGAGCATGTGAGGGTCGCCGACCTTTATCGCTCTTGAAGTAAAGCATGGTTGTATAACAA